AAAAAAGAAGGAAAAGAAAAAGAAAAAGAAGAAAGGATTTTTCCTGGGATTTAAAATTGCACTTTGGTGATTTTTAATTGGTTAAAATTATTTCCAAGGCTCTAAAAATTCCACTAAAAATCTTGGTAATGCATTGGAGCATGGGGAACTCAAGAAAAATTCCACCACGCTATTTCCGATTATTAATTGCATTTATTAACTAGGGATTTAGCTCTAGGTTAATTAAGATAATTTCTTCGGGCAATTTATTTAACCAATTTTTAAAGCAAGAAAAAGGGGAAACTTCTGGGCGTGACAGAGATGCTCACGAATCTATCATGCAGCTCTTTATTGGGGAGTGTGCTAGTGCTGGAGTACTACTACTTGTTGGTCTTTGAAGAAGTACGGGCTTGCTGCTAGCCCGTGGTGCATAGATAAAGAATAAAAGAAGTCAAACATACTACTCGTTGAGCTGTAGGTGAGCAGCTGAGCTCGTCGAGCTTTTCGAGCTCGGTTCGATGGGGCTCGCGAGCCTTAGTGCAAGCTCGGGCTTGGCTTGTATGATGGTCGAATCGAGCTCGAGCCGAGCCTAAGACGAGCCGAGTTCGAGTAGCTTGCGAGCCCCGAGCTTTTTTGACAGCCCTAAGTGTATCGGTATGTTTTATTAGTTAGACACAAAATGTTGCAGTGCCCTTTTGATGATGTTTTCATTCTTGCCTTCAGTGTGTTCAGATGTGTTGATGCTTTGGTAGTTCAAAATTGATGTTTCATATGTAACAAAATGTTTCAATTATGTTTCACCATTTGAATTGTCGAAACATTTTTGTTCGAGATCTGAAACATTTTTGTTCAAGGGATGAAACTCTTTTATCTCATTGGTGAAACTTTTTTTATCGAGTGGTGCAACATGTGAAACACTTCATAATAATACAGTGCAACATCGTCCGATGATTTATAAAATATTGGACATCTGATTTGTAGCACTCTCCAAAAAAAAAATAGAGGTGTGGCCATAGACTAAGGAGATGCTTTAGCGCCAGTTTGCCATCGATGCCATGAAACTCATAGCAACTAAAATCTCTAGCCAAGTCAGCAGTGGATGCCATGGCAGAAGTCGATCAAGAGCTCGGACAAACCGTATGCAGCTGCACATCTACGTCCTTCACCTGCGCCTCTATTGGCCACAGTGTCGTATGCCCGCGCCGCCTACACCCGTTGCATGCTCACCATTGCCACTAGCTTTCCCATCGGTAATCAAGATTGGTGTTGATAGTCGTTATCGACCAATTTCGACCGTCAATATTACCCAATATATGAAGACTAGCTATGCTTGCAATGCATAATTTCCAAATAAAATATCTACTTCCACTATATACTATGCTATTAACATCTATGTAGGAGAAGCACATATAAATGGAGGAGAATCGACAACAAAATAGACGATCAATCAATCAGAGGCTGTCGAGATCTAGACTTACGGATGAATAGGCCAAGAACACATAATTGACATGATCTAATAGGCCCAAAATTCACTGTTATGTATAAGGGAGGAGCTAAGAGGGCCACCTGCCAAAAATGGGCCAAAATGGTCTAGCACATGGTTCGGCCGAACCCCTCTAAGCGCCGATGGATCCAGGGTTTCTTGTGGACGGTGGAGATTCACTCCCTATGACGGTTGGAGGGCGTTTCGGACCTTTCCAACTATCATAACTGTCATAAGTGTTGGTATTTCTTAACGACATTACTAGAAATATAATTCCCAGTAATGACGCAGAAATACTTCTGGTATATTATGGTTACAGTGTTCATCCGCAAGCGCACGGATATACCATTGTAACATTTCACCCGAGAGTATTCCAAGGGTATCGTATTTATTTTATCTCGTGGGAAGATCATATAGAGAGAACTTGACTAATAATTTATATATTACTTGTGATAATCATATTCTAAGCAGGGGTTAAGATAATCCAAGGGTAGAGTGACACACAAGCATTAGCTACTCATTCTCATAATATATTATCTAAGCTAAGTGGAAAGAAAAGAGAAAAAAAATCTATTCCTATACTTCTAATATATATAGTATACATACATTCTAGTTAACCGATATACTAGCTAATACCCTCTATCCGATGTCCTCCTGGTACTTCGAGAAGCCACCCTGACTGCCGAGTTCCTAACGACAACCCGTCATGACCATACAACCGGGGCTAAATACGGAGGAATAAACACCCCAGGGAATTAACTTAGGATTATATACCGGCGCGGAGGAATACCCGTACTGAGCTGTCACCATCAGCGGCCCACCTCTCATCCGCTATATATAACCCCAAATAATGATATCCCGTAATCTAGACACCACGTCTAAACTACTAGATACTACTCTAATATCATCGTCATGACATATAGTAATTGCATATGCAAACATTATACCCGCACCAAAGCATCTCCCAGATAAGCTAGCCGTATATTCAGTATAACATGAACATAATGTAAAGTAGGCATTCATATACTCGGAAAGTATTTCAATACCATAAATGCATATAGAAGAGTATTCTAATAAAAGTACAAAGCTTACAAAAGAGAAGAGAAAAGCTACTAGAGCCATACCCGAACTCTTCCGAAGGCTTCCGGACTCCTGATTTATACTCTATTCCTATTCCACCAGCTAGATACTACTAAACTAAACTTGAGAGAAATGAGAGAGCTATTGCTTGAGGTGTGTGTGTGAAGTGAGAAGAGGAGCTCCTTTTATAGGCAGGTAATGATAGTTGTGACGGTTGGAATGGTCGGTAATACCCTCCAACCGTCATTGGGGATCAATCCCAGCCGTCCATCCAAACCCTGCATCCATCGGCGCCACGGGAAGTTCGGTCGAACCATGGACTGGCCCAACCCAGCCTATCTTCGGCTGGCGGCCTCCTTTGTTGTCCTTCTCTGTAGACTTGTGAATTTTGGCTCAATGTGTCGTGTTATTTCTGAGTTCTTAGCCCATTCATACATAAGTCTGGTTCTCGACACCGTCTGATTGATTTATCGTCTGAGTTGATGTCGATTCTCCTCCACTTTATTGTCATTCTCTGCAAAAGATTAGTATACCTAATACTAGTGGAATATTATTATTCTAATAGATATATGCAATGCAAGCATCACTAGTTCTCCTCTATTTTAGTAATATTGACGGTCAAAATTGATCGATAACGATAGTCAACAATAAGCTGCCTATTTAAGGAGCTCCCCTCACTCCCTCCAACACACACTCAAGCAAGGATCAAATCTCTCTACAAAGCTAGTATTAGTGTTAGTGGAGTAGAGTTAGAATAGTTCCAAGTCCGCGGAGGCTTCGGGAGTTCGGTAAAGTTCTGTAGCTTTTCCTTTCTACTTTGTAAGACTTCCATTTATCAATATTATGTTCTTCTTTATATAATTTCGGTGTTTTATTCCAATCATAGAATATGAGTACCAGTCTTAGTTTATTCATGAGTATTATAATCTGTGGTTAAACTTTCTGGGATTTGCATTGATGCTGGTATAATGTCTAACTACTAGGTCATTAGTTTGCTTAGGCTAAGCCAAGAGCTATGGTTTCAGGGCTTAGTTGCTTCTACACTGATTGCAAGACTGTAAGTAGTAAGTAGTAATTTAAGCATGGAGCTTAGGTTACCGCTTATCATTATTTTGGAGTATATGCTCTGGGTGATTTGTAGGCCGCTGATGGTGACAGCTCAGTACGGGTGTCTTCCCCGCAGTTTATATCCCTACATACAATTTCCTGGGGTTGGATACTCCTCCGTATCCCGCTTTGGTTGGATGGCTATGACAGGTTGTCGTAAGGAACTCGGCAAACCGGGATAGTCTTGCGATGCATCGGGAGGGCAAGCTTAGCTATGTTGCATTGTTAAAGGGGTTATAATACATAGTGTATACTAGTTAGAATATACTAAGATGTTGTATACTAGAAGTACAGGAATAGAACGTATCTAAACTACTACCCCTTAGCCATAATTATGAGATGTAGAAATTAGCTAAATTAGCTGTGTGTCACTCTACCCTTAAGCTTAACTTACCCCTCATAGATCTTGATGTATACAAGTAATATATAAACTATTAGCATAGTACTCTCTTATCATATCTTCCGTTGGGATTAAACAAATATGATACCTTGGAATACTCCTGGGTGCAATGCTACAATGGTATATCCGTGCACTTGCAGATCACATCTGTAACCATAATATACCAGGATTATTTCTAGTGCTATTGCTGGGAATTATATTTCCAGTAGTGTCGCTAAGAAATACCAACAAGCATTTATGGGCTCTCCTGAGGAGGGAGAACAGGAGAATTCCAAGGTATCATATTTGTTTAATTCCAAGTGAAGATATGACAAGAGAGTACTATGCTAATATTTTATATATTACTTGTAGACATCAATTGGGATTTTAGAAGGCAGAGAGCTAGGGTTCATCAGGTCCACAAGTCCACAACTAATAAATACCACTACAAGAGATCTTATGATAGATGACACTTCATTTACGTCACAAACATTGAATTTTTCGTCACATTTTGTAATCTGTGACGCTCGCATGACGAAAATTCATTCGTCACCTATAAGGTGTCTCTAATGGCGTTCTATGACGAAACCTTATTTTTTTCATCATTAATCTAGTGACGATCCTTCCGTCGTCATAACTTTATGACGCTCAAATTCGTCATTATCTAGCTAAAAAACGTCATAAAATATCTAATAGCCCATTAAGATCCATGTATTGAGCACCCTGTTTATGGGCTTAGCCCAATGGCAAGCCCGACTAGATTTTAGCCTAGCCCATCTACGATGTAGCATATTTTCAGCCCAATTCTATTATATCTATTTTCTTTAATATCAAATAATAAATGGGCCAAGTACATTGCAAAAGCCCATATAGGCCCAAACATTATACCACACTATTTTCAGCCTAATCATATTATATTCATTTACATTAGTATCAAATAACAAGTGGGCTAAGCCCATATAGGCCCAACAATCAAACACAATAACAACCCATATAGCACAAAGGTAACAACCCAATTAGCATCAAACATCCAATACAACACAAAATTTACAACCTAGTTAACAGCCAAATCCAGTCATGTTCCAAATACAATCACAGGTTCACTGAGTTACTAAGTACATGTAACTATCCTAGCAAAATAAACAAGTTACAGTCACATTCACTAACAAAACAAGTCGCATGTCTGAATCACACCAATCAAAAGATATTGCCCTCTCATCATGAATCAGCAAGTCGACATGAAAAGGGCAGACAAACCTGCATGGCATGATATGCAGAAGAAATAACAAGTGGAACTTGTTGCATATTGAGCACAAAGGAATAGTTATGAAACATGGTACAAATGACTAATAGTATTGAAACATTGCACATACCTTATCAAGGACGCCTTGTTCAATGTCATCATTACCTTCAAGAGTTGGCAAAAGAATTGATCATGAGCATACAGAGAATGGTAATTGCTTTGATTTTTTTTTAGAAAAAACAGATTTTCTATACCTCTTCATCTAAATCAAGATAGAGCTCATCACCATCTTCAGTCTTCAGCATCCACCTACCATCTAGCGCCCTGGGGAAAATGAGCAGCAAAGAAAATAAAGCAACATAAATTTATGTAGAAAGTACTTTCCTCATGACAAACGGAACAAGGTAGCAGTCTGTACTCAGCAGCCTCAGGTGACATCCACTGTCCTCAGCAGTTATAGAGTTTGTTTTTAAACACAGATAAAGTAATCCAGAACGTATTTAAGCCATCGCAAAGATTCTGTTTTAGTTCCTGACTGAATTAAATTTCAATAGTATTCTGTTTCATAATAACCAATCTGGTTTTCAAGCAGATGCAACATAACAAGTTAATCTAAGAGGAATCAAAATCAAAATGTAAGATATAACTCCAGAGAAAAGTAAGCACCTCAAGTTTTCAAATTATAGTAGTTACTGCTGTATAGGAACAACAAAACAAAACATTACCTAGCTGTGCCATACTGCATCAAGTGCCCAGGAATGCTTATATCACTGAAGAAATCAAGTGAAACTGCCAAACAGATGTAGCCATATCAGCTCAACCAATTGTTTGTGAATGCAGCTTTTCCTACTAACTAGTACCAGAAGAGGAAGGGGCCATTTGTAACTTCTATACACATGTGAGGCACAATTAGTCCAACAGTAAAGAACAGGAATTAGTGCTTGTCAAAGATAAAATTTATATATTCAGTTTAACAGAATACTATGTTGAAAATAAATAACCATAGTTCAGCATTACCCTCCAGATATTTAGCTAGCAATGATTTGTGTACCCCAACAAAAGTAATCACTCTAATGCAATTGAGGATATTGATTCCAGGTTAGTAATCAGGTCTACAGGGACAAAGAAACATACTAGGATATTAACCAGCGCCAAACTTCAGTTAAATAGACCTTTCTCGACAGTTGCAAGATGCCAACACACAGAAAACTCAGCCCGGCGCAAAAAAATAATAAAAAAAAAGTAAACAGAGAAAACTCAATTAATCATTTTGCAATCTACTTTTTTTTTAGCAAGAAGGGCAGATCCCCTCCCATTTCCATTAAAGAAACCAGCACAACCACTACACCCAGAACAACTATAGGATAAGTATATAAGCTGAGAAGACCTGATAAGGCAATTCCATCCCCATTGGCACCCCTGAACTAGCCTAAGCAACAATCCAGTAAAGTTCCAGCAAAACTACTGCTAATGAACAGAGATGACGCAATCTATTGCAAATTGCATCAGAAACAGCCCTACAGAAGCGAAACTCGAAATATCTACACAGCCCAAGTATAATCAAGAAAAGAAACCTTTAGGCACCGCCAGTAACCACAGACCAAAGATCAGTTCAGTCAGACTCACGGTCGCACCGCAGCTACTTAGCTAATTAAGACGATACACGCATAACATAGTAACACATAGAGATGGAGATTCCGTTAGCAGTAGGGTTGTTTGGTCTGCTGGTGGCAGCCACGGCGCCGGCAGATCCACCGCTCCCACACCCGGCAGTGATGGAAACGGAGGTCGGCGCGGCAAGCGGCGAGGGGCGAGCAAGCCGGCGCGGTGAGCGGCGACGGAGAAGACCGCCGCTGCAGGCCGTCGACGCTGCCGCACGGTGTCGCCGAGCCGCCCGAGGACTGCCGCCGCTGGCCGTCGACGCAGCCGCACGCCGTCGCAAGCCGCCCGAGGACCGCCGCCGCGCGATCTGGCCGCCCTAGTGTCGAAACCAGATTTCGGCAATATTAAAAGGGGTGGCTATCAAACTGAAAAAATAGATGGGTTTAGAGACAAGAAATTTTATACAGGTTCAGGCCTTCTTAATCAAAGAAGTAATACCCTACTCCTGTCCGAGGATTGATCCGCCGAGTATATTATTGATCGTATGATCTGGGTGAAAATCGTGCCCCTAGAGGCACCCAGACCCCTCCTTATATAAGGGAAGGGGTCCGTATTACAAAATACAGTCCATATCCCTAACGGAATATGTAGTTACAGATAAAATACAATCGTAACTGACTAGAATCTCAAGTATTCCTTGACATACAAGTTTGGAATTTAACCCGAGTCCTCTTAAAGATATTCTATCTATACATGGCACCCTATACCCTGTCGGACTATACATGACGTGTAGGTATGGGGTATCCATAATCTCCACAGTAGCCTCTGAGACCTTTACAGTCAACGAAATAGTCTCTTCTCGTAGCACAAAATGATAATCCGAGTGCTTCAATTTCTTCTGCATTGATCTCCTGAGTACCAAAATCAAAGACTATTTGGCTAGAAATATTCAGGACTGTTTGGCTTGGTCTTTTGAATATCTGCATCAGTGCCAACATTCTAAGAGGGAAATAGTTCTTTTAAAATTGGATTTTGAGAAAGCTTTTGATACTATTGAACATTCAGTTATATTAAACATCATGAGGCAGAAAGGCTTAGATCCTAAATGGATAAGCTGGATTTCTCAGATTTTTTCTTCAGCCTCTTCTTCAGTTATCCTGAATGGTGTTCCTGGCAAATCCTTCTATTGCAAAAGGGGTGTAAGACAGGGTGATCCACTTTCACCCTTATTATTTGTTCTTGGAGCTGACTTGTTACAATCTATAGTCAATAAAGCTTGTTCTCAGTGAGTTTTTACAATGCCAATCCCAACACCTGGTAATGAATTTCCGATTGTCCAGTATGCAGATGATACTCTACTTTTTTTTGACTGCTTCCAAAAAGAGCTTTTCTGTCTCAAGGCAATTTTGAATACTTTTGCCTCTTCAACTGGCCTTAAGATTAACTATAGTAAGTCATGCATGATTCCTCTGAATGTAGATTTGGAAAAGGTTGATCATCTCTCAAAATTGTTTGGTTGCTCTATTGGTAAGTTACCTTTTACTTATCTGTGTCTTCCTCTTGGAACCACAAGACCAAGAGTTATAGATTTTGCTCCTCTAGTTGATAGAGTAGAGAGAAGACTCTCATCAACCACTGCTTTGTTATCTTATGGGGACAGATTGACCATTGTGAATGCAGTTCTTTCCTCCCTTCCCACTTACTACATGTGCTCTCTTTCACTTCCAAAGACAGTTATAGAAAGTATTGATAGAGCTAGGAGACATTGCCTGTGGAGGGGATCTGATATTAATTCTAGTAAGAAGTCTTTGGTTCTCTGGGCAAAAGTTTAATAGACCTTAGATTGCAAAATAATTCCCTTCTCTTGAAGAATCTGCATAAGTTCTATAATAGATATCCTGTTCCCTGGGTCAGTTTGATTTGGAATACTTACTACACTGCAGAACCTCCTCATGCTGTTACTCCTAAAGGATCTTTTTGGTGGAGGGATGTTTTACAATTTGTGGATATTTTTAGAGGCATCTCGGCCTGTACTGTGCAAGATGGAAAATCTTGTTTGTTTTGGGAAGATTTGTGGAACAATAAAGTCAGGGCCTTGGTTTATCCCAAAATATATTCTTTTGCCAGGAATTCAAATCTCTCAGTTATGATGTTCTCTACTTCTGATCTACCTCAGCTCTTTGCCTTGCCACTTTCAGAGCAAGCTTTTCAGGAATATTTGGCAATGTCAGCTGCAGATACCTTGGAGCATCTTAATGATGAGAGTGATCGCTGGACATATGTTTGGGGCAATGGTATCTTTTCCTCACAGAAAATTTATGCCATGAATTTTTCTCATGTCCATGTGCCTGTTTATATTAAATGGATTTGGAAGAGCAGTTGTACTATGAAAGTCAAGGTGTTTGTTGGCTACTCTTAATTGATCGGTTAAATACTTATGACATGTTAGACAGAAGGCATTGCTCCCCTCAAAATGCTTCCTTACTCTGTGTACTTTGTTCAACAGGATCAAGGGAAACAACTCTCCACTTATTTTTCTAGTGTCCTTTTAGCACTCAATGTTGGGCGCAATTTGGTGTGGTTTGGAATCTTTCTTTAAGCTTTGGTGAAATGTTGGTCACGGCCAGAAATTCATATTAATCTACCCATTTTATTGAGAAGGTGCTTTATGTTGCTTGGAACATTTGGAAGCAGAGGAATAGTTTAATTTTTGAAAACATTGTTCCCTCTGTTCCCTCTTGGAGAGTTCTCTTTAGGAATGGTCTCTCCCTTTTAGTTCATAGAGTCAAAAATTCTGAGAGAGATACATTGTTACAGTGGTTAAATTTGTTGTAATTTTTTCTCCTTTATTAATATAAAATCTTAACGGTGGGGACTTCCCCTACCGTGGTTCTTTCAAAAAAAAAATCAAAGACTGTGTAGAGCTAAAATTAAATAATCAGGTGCATCGAATAGATGCACCTAATTAGGTGTAGCCCCCGACTATATGAGTAGCTAAAAGCTAAACATATAGTCAAAGTGCAAATAACATCCATCCGAGTGGCTTTACAACCGCATCATCCATAGTATCATATAGCTAAGCATATGCATCGTTCAATAAAACATCTAGCCGACTGCTTTAGCTTTAATATACCAAAAATTAAGATATAAAGAGGCCCGAGTAAAAAATACTCTAGAGGTCCATAAATCAGCACATATGACAAGAATCTGAGTAAAAATTCTCAAAGATCCATCACATGTGGTATAAATATGTTATCATGACAATTAATGAGTCAAAATAGCCTAGGCTATGACTCACGCCATAATCAAATTAAGCATATAACATGCCGAGAGAATGACTGTTCAAAATCCAACCATCTCAACAAAACCCAAACAGCCTTTGCAGCCTAAAAAGGCTTACAAAAGAAGTATAACACATTTCTGTCGGGTACCTTTTTATTTGCATCGTAGTAATTCAAAGGAATCATCTAACTGCGTCAAAAAGGATTTTAACAGCATTGAGCCATACCACTGTGAGCAAAAATTGCCGAAACAAAAATGCCTAAGTCCCTAAGGATCACAACTTAGCCATGCTGATAACAGAATTGGGATAAAGTACTATTTTAGGCCCAGGCCCATTAGTACTCCCGATACCCTAATAACACCAGAAAACCAAACACCGCTTCGTCTTCCCCGCTGAGACTTTCGCCATTTTCCCCATTCCCCGCTACAGTACAAAACCACTCCAGCGGAACTAGGGTTCTCCGATTCTCCCAAATCCACCTTCCAAAACTCCACAGAAATCATCCGCGAATCCACCGCATCAATCCCCCCTCCATTCCCAGCCATTCACCGAACCAAATCATATTATCCAGATCGCATCCATGGCGGAAGAGAGAGAGCTTTGAGAGTCAGTGGGCGCCCTCCGATGTAACGGAGGAGAACCTGAAGGAGATGGTGGCGCACGGTGTTCTTCCGGCAAAGGAGATCATTGGGTGGTGTCCAGCATGCGGCAAAGCATTCCCAACCCCTGACACACACGAGGTCGTGGTATTTTCTCATTTCTTCTGTGGCGGGTTCTCTCTTCCAACCTCAAGATTCTTTTGGGGGATTTTGGATTTCTATGGGATTAGTTTGCATCACCTAAACCCAAATTCCATAGTCCATATTGCCAACTTCATACATGCCTGCGAAGCTTTTTTGGGCGTCAGGCCACATTTTGCCCTATTCCGCCGCATCTTCTTCCTCAAGCCCCAACCGAACAAGAGCAAACCATGTGTTGTTGGGGGGGGGCGGTTTCCAACTTAGGGGAACCTTGAGCCAGAAATATTTTTCCATGCCCTTCAAAACCTCGAACAAGGGCTGGCATGCAAACTGGTTCTATGTACAAAACCCCGAGCCTGCACTTCCTGAGTACTCCTGTCTTCCTCCAGTTTATCAGGACACTTGGAACTCACTTCCAATGGGAGAAGAAGCCGCTCAGGCGCTTGCCCTGATGGACCGTATGCTGAAACTAAAGGAGCAAGGTCTGCAAGGAGAACAGATCACCCGGCATTTTATCAAGAGCCGGCTAGCCCCAATCAAAGAAAGATCTCGTACGGCCTTTGAATTTGACGGCAAACATGACCCCAACCGTGAAGATCTAGACTCTCTTGATTTTAAGGTCATGAAGGAGAGAATGTACAAAATCTTCTCAAATGCTATCGTGGTCAGTTATTCGCACTTGCTACCAGCGGTGCCATACAACCCCTTCAATCCTCCTCCACCGATATGTATTCAAACATTTCAGCCTTCCTCAAAAGCATGCTTTCATCTTCTGTTAAGCTAATTGAAAGTTCGAAATATCATGCCCAGGAATTAGCCTTGATGAAGTCGGATCCTCCAATTGCTCAACGCTGATCACCCCGCCGGCAAACTAGTCAGGTGAGTGGAGGACCAAAAATTCGGTCTGATACTCAACCAAACACCTCGAAATCAACTAGCCAGTCAGACTCTCGCAAGAGGAAATTGGTTCTGAGTGATGATGAGGGCGATGATGCTAAAAAAACTGGCAACAAAGAAGTGACTGGAAAACAACCAAGACAAACTAATCCGAAGAAGAAAACATCCAGTCGTCCCATGTCGAAAATCAGAAAATCTTCCAGGTACAAATCATTTGGCCATCTTCCTTGTATTGCTGCTTACCCACTATTGAAATAGCATTGATAGCATAACTCAAATTTGTAGGAAGCCATCTGACATAGATCCTTCTGGAAAAGACTTTGAGCCGACTGACATGGAGATAGGCCCTTCAAAAGAAACTGGGCCGACTGCAGAAGATCACCCGAGTGACAATCAACCGGCAACCGACAATGTAGAACCCAGCAACAAGCCCCCGACTGGGAACCAGTCGGCCGAAGCTGGAGTTGGCGCTAATCAGGATCCCCCAACTAGAAACCAGT